AGGCTGGGAAACCCATCAGCTCCTAAGTACTTTGCACTTCCAAATAAAGTGCTGATCCTGGGGCAACCGTGCTAGGCTCTACCCCTGTGAGATCTCCTCCTGCCAAGCTTGCGTGAGCGGCGTGGAAGGACTCACCACAGGATCAAAGTTCAACATTGGCAGCTGGTGGTAAAGAACTATGAATTTTTTTTTAATTTGATCACTGGTTATCATGAAAAATAAATGAAAAAACATTGCAATCAGTCAATAAACGACAATTTCCCAGCTGGAGAGATGCAAGTGTAGGCCTGAGGTAAGGCAAGGGGGTCTGACTGCATGCATCTCGCTGGTGTGCGATGGGCTGGGTGGCACCTTTGCTCGGGGCAGGCTCGCCAAGCCCTGCAAGCAGGTTGGCCATGCCCCGTGCTGATGCCAGGTTCGCCACGTGGGGTGAAACCACCGCTCTGCAGCCTCATCTTCCCTGCCCAACTTGCTGCCTGCAGGGTGCTGAGCCTCGCAGGGACCTGCGCACACGCACACGCACGCACAGACACATGCACACACGCGCAGAGCCAAAGGCTGCAAAGTCCAGGCCGGTGGCACCTCTTGCTTTCTTCTGAGTGCCATTGCTCATGTAGGCTTTGCCTGGAGCTGCCCTAGACCTCCCCAAGAGCAACCGCCCGGCAAACAGCCCTTCCCTCCCCCAGCCCCCTTTGCATGCTGACCTTGACCTGAATACAGTAATCCACTTCAGCCATAAGCAATTGCAGAGAGTGGCGGGTCACCCAAGGATATTTTTTCCCAGCTCTGCTGTGGGTCGCAGCTCACCGCGGTGGTGCCACTTGGGAAGGAAGAGCTGCCTGCTATCATCCCCTTTGCTAACCCTTGGGCTCTGCTGGAGATGCCCAGTGAGATCCGCATCCAGTGTCTGATGTACATCCCACAGCCACCAGTGCCAAAAATATGCAAGGTGGGGGGCTGCCTCTTTAATTCCATCCGAACAACAACTCTGGTCCAGCCCCAGGAGGTGCTGGGTGAGCAAACGATCCCCACGCTGGGTTGCAGGGAACAGACATTGAACTGTTTGGCAGTTGCAATCAGAAGCCTTTTTTTTTCCTTCTTTTTTTTCCCCAACACTGGTCAGCAGCTGTGTTGTTTATAAAATGAATGGAGCCCTTAATGAAGCAATAGATAGAAACAGTGAGAGGCTGTTTCTGTCTGTTACAAAGGGCCGAGGGGGAAGGGTTGATCTCTTAAAATACCCTGACATCCTTTCTCTCAGTTATTTAAACATTAGGCATAGCAGTGATCAGCTATCAACATAAAGGCTATATTTGGCTCAGTGGAAACACTAAATCCACACATCAAAACAGCTGTTCATATATACAGACTGGGAGAGACTTTCAGTGAATGTGAAAGAGTGCAAAATGGTGCAAAAAAAGCAGACAGCATGTGGGAAGGGGGAGGACCAAGTTGCAAGCAGCACTTGGGAGACACTGCTCAATGTGTTCTGTTGGTAGAAACAACAGACCCCATTACCGGCACATCGAGGATTGCAACAGATACTCTGCCAAAGGTGCAAAAACAGAGGAAGAGGATTCCAGCACTGGAGAGAAAAAATAAGCAGCTTTGCTATAAACCGTTTTCTCTCCAGCTCAGTCCATGGCTTGCAACACATGACATTAATCATAAACCCCCAAAACACATCTAGGTTAAAGTTTCCAGCTGTTTTAGTCTCTAGAGACTTTTAAAGAGGAAAGCAGCATCCTTCAGCACAAAAGTCCTGATGCGATGACATGGTATTGGCACATCCTCTCCCACTCCTCCTCTGCAAGGACAGGGAGGGGGAAAGACGTCTTGAAGTTTAGCCAGATTTTTGTACAGTACATGTCAAGGCCCAGGCAGAGGTGGAAAGAACTCAGATTTCAGCAACGACATCCTTTCTACTAGTGGTTTTGAAGAGCACCACTACAGCACAGATTTGGTATTGAGATACATTAATGCAATCAGGAAGCGTGTTGGTCCCTGGGAGCCCACCCTCCTCTTCCACCCTTTATAACCCCAAAAGCATTGTGAAGGGTGAACTGTTTATTTTCTGGAAACCTCCTGTTATCCAATCTGAATTTCCCCTATGCTACAGGAGGACCTTGCTCCGTGGTGGCCATTCATCCTTTCAGAAAAAGGTGAAACCCCACCTCATCTTTTCTGGTTTAATGACACTACAGTATCCAGGCTAACTCTGTCTCCAAGAATAATGCATAACTCAGCATTTGCTAGCTCTAGGAAGGGGTTTTATAAAAAATTCTAATAAATCTGCAAGCCACTTGCATCTCTTCAGTTACAGCACAAGTGAAGGATGCCAGGAAACCAGCACTGCAAGGAAAGAGGAGTCATAACTCCTTGTAAAAGGTAAGACACCACTCCTCTGTACCGTCCTCCAGCTTTTCTGTACAGGTACACACTGTTCTTTGCCAAATGAATACTTTTTGTTGCAAAGCTGACATTTATAGTGGTCCTAGCAACTCCTCGCTGCTCCGAAGTGCTTGCAGATCCCTTTGTGCTGCAAGAACGCTTGGATGCATTCCTCCCCATTAAACAAAAATAAACTGCCTAGGCTTGACAGGCACACCATGGTGTCCTTGTGGAAGGAATGATTAGCCATTCCCAGAAAAGCTCAGCGAAGAACATAACTTTGCCCTTCTTTTGTAAGATGAGTTGGCACAGGTTCCTCCCGTTTTCACTGGCACTGGCACAGGCTGTGGTTAACCACATCAAGCCCTTTGCTGGTATCAGTCCAATCACAACTGCTGAATCATCACATCTAGCAGTGCCTTGGCTTAGATATGCCAAATATTTGCTTTTGCCTCTTCTTATCGCAGGATTTTTTGCCATACAGGAGGAAGGAGCAGCCCAAAATAGTTCCAGCAAAGCACCAACCCACCTGTCTCTGAAACCCCAGTATGTTACATCACTCACTGGGTACGAGCACCACCTCCTCACTAAGGTCCCAAAGCAGAAAGCACAGCAGAGCCATTTTGGTGACCAGGCTCTGTTATTTCCTAACCACCCCAACGCTGAACAGCACCAGTGCTCCCAGGCCCCTGTAATGCAGGGAAGGGAGCCTCCAAACCCGCAGAGGGATGCTTCCCCGTGAAGGGCAGATACTGCTCAAGTTACAAAACCCCCCCATCTTTTAACAGGAAACCACTGAGAGAAACAGAAGCTTAGATGAACAAGAACTGTACTTCTGCTTTAAGGACGGAAATAAAACAATGTTTTAATTCTTTCCTGCACCTTTAGATTCCTCTCCCTCTTGTACTTGTGGAGTCCTTTTAAAACCTATTTGTGAAGGGTTGATCTTTTCTCTCCCTTTCTGAAGTTAGATTCTTGCAAGAGGTCCAAGAACAGCTTTTGGAAACCCAAAGTGGCATCTGCAATTTCGGTCAAGAGGCCCAAATACCTCCAGAGGTTGGTGAGGAACATGTTGCACATCAACGGATTTACAGATCAGATTGGGAACAGAAAGGATGCAACGAGCATGGCACCAACTCCAGTGTGGAAGTCAGCGTACAGACCACAGTCCTATGCACTAGACAGTACTCTATCTAGGGAGAAAAAGAAAACTTCGAACAGCAAATCAATAGTACTCCATACCAAGCCCTCAATTTTGTTATGCATTTGTTAAAGCAAAATTATCCTTCAGTACTTTGAATAGCCAGTCACACCTAATACTGAAGTGTTTTGTGTTTTCTTAGTATAAATAGTAGGCTGGAGTGGGGAAAAAAAAAAAAAAAGCTTTGAGCACAGAAGTAGGGAAGGGCAGAGATATGAGCAAAAGAAAAAAAGATCTCATTGATACAAATATACTCCCACTGAGAAAGACTATAGTACTCCTGGTAAAACATTAAGACACCATACATTGCAAAGTTACAAATTTATTTGTTTTGAAATAAATACAAATACTTCATTAAGAAACTTTTCTTGATAGACTTTACACAATAGCTTTATTCTTTCTGGAAATTGTCTTTTCTTCCCACAACCTGTTACGGATCTTCTACACAAGAGCTGAAGTTAGTCAATATAAAGTAACCTAGATGGTGTTCTTCTGAACAAGCAATTCCAAAGTATTAACATTTGCTATTTAACTGCTCGGCATTTGAGTTTTCTTGTTTGTGTGAGGACTGCAATGCAGCAGGTATGCACTGGAGCTCGGGAAATCCTGTCCCACTACCTATGGAAGGATAATCTTAAGAACACCCAACTGTGAAAATCTGACTGGCGGAAAGGTGTCAAGCCACCAGCATCAAAGAAAGTAACCCAAGGTATCAGGAAGCTACATAAAGACGCAGCAGCAGCAGCTCGTGACATTTATGCGGTCATTAAACACTGTATTTCACAGATACAGTGTTGCCGCTCTACCACTTTGTGGAATACACTTCTCAGCACCAGTGAGATCTCATCAGATTTTCAAATCTAGTGATTAGTGGCAGTTGAATGTACAGTATCTAATTACATGCCATCCCACAGTTATTCATCTCTCCTGACAAAGAACAGCTGGATCTGGCTTTGCTTACAGAATTCCGAATTTATCACAATTGTGCTGGACACAAAAACTTGAGCTGCAAAGATAAGAAGCTGTCTGAAGGAAAAATCAAGCTGTTTCTGCTTTGCTGGCATGTAAGGCTACCCTACTTGTTACAACTATACCAACTTTTATACCAACCCTTTGGCCCAAGATCCCAAAGAGGAAATGATACCTTGCTTATTAAATTTAAATCCTGTCCTCATTTGGCTAAGCAGGTTTTAGGGTCTAGGAAGGGGGAAGGAAAGGAAGACTGGAACTAAATCTCAAAAAAGAGAAATAAAAAAGCTTAAAGATTTAGTTCGTCTCAAAGTCACATTAAAATTGCCTATTTTAGTAGGATATTATTGTACATAGGAAAACAGGCTTGTATACTAATGAATTAGAAGGCCTATAAATGCACGATACATTAACTTCTTTATCATTTGAAGTCAAGCTATATACAATGAATTCGACTCCAGCTTCAACATGAGGCTATAACACATTTGTTTCGTTTCCTTCTTTAAAAGCCATCCATAATAGTGATTTTTTTCTCCCCCTCTTTGAAACTCGTCTCAAATTGTGCCAGTTTACTTCAAGAGAATAAGAGATAAAGGGGCATGTAACAGCTTTGATTTTAAAGGAGGATTTTAAGCAAGTCTGGTTTGACTGTGAAGTGTTTACAACCACATCAGCTTTTGGCAAGTATCCTTTAGAATTTGGCATCCATTGAAGGAGGGCACAATAGCAGCAACTGTCTGAGTTACAAGAATAACGACAGAGCAAATGAGATGCTTCTTTTCTTTGGTCCCTGTCAGACCCTGGTGAACAGAGTTCATCCTACAGAATAGCTTGAGATTAATACCAGTTATGTTTTTGCGAGACACGGGGGGCATCCATTACTTTTTCACACTGTGACCAGTTTAAACCTCCCACAGCCATCTAACAGGACACTTCCATGGACTTGGGGCTTGATTGTTCAGCGTTGCTTGCCGAGTTCGGTGTCAGCTCGATGCGCGTGTCTGTGTGGGAGCGGTTCCTGGCACCGTCCCCGGTGTGGGATCGGCTCCTCGTTCCCTCCCCGGTGTGAGACCGGCTCCTCGTGCCTTCCAAAGAGGTTACGCTGGAGCCAGAAGCGGTGCGGGACCTCATCAGCCTGGTCATGCTAGCAGAGGGGACTGGAAGAAGAGTCCTTCATTAATGCCTTGCTCCGTGGGCTTGGAAAGAAGCCCTTGCCTTCCCCTCCAGCCCTAACCACCTTTGGAGAAGCCTTCAGGGTTGAATATATACTTTTAACGCTAGCTTCATGTGTAGAAGAAGTACCACTGCTCCAGGCATACAGTTAAGGAGCAAATTAATTGCCAAATTACTAAGGCAAAATTGGTGGCCAGGGCTGAGGGATTCACGACAGAGCTTCATGGCATGTTGCTGTGGCTGCAACAAGCCAGAGGAAAACTAAAGGACTATCAGACCTCCGTTACTTTCAGATGTTTAACCTTTGCTGGCAGCCCAGGCCAGCAATGCATCTACACAACAGCAGTTGTCAGAAGCACATACATGAAGGACACACAGCTACAAATCAAAGAAGTCTCTGAACTAACGAGGTTTTAAATGTCGTGTGCAGCATATGAACCATCTCCTGTGATGCAACAAGGGGACACTATTACAAATATCCACCTTAAAAATATCAAGATAAAGTAAAGCAGGTATTTGGGGGTATAAGCTCTCTACAAAGCTCTCTACTACTTAGTAACATAATTTGGTCTGAAAACCCTTTGCCCAGACACCACAGGTGGGTTTGTTTTTTTCCCTTGCAAATGCATATCCAATAGGGAAAAGATCACACATCAGGGATCATAAGACTCTCTGGGTGCTTAGATGCCCAACAAACTTTGGTAGCCAGGTGAACCATTCCATAAAACCGATACTTACTGTATCCCATTCCCTGAACAAAGTATTTGAAAGCTTCTGCAAGCTTGGCAGGCTGCAAAAGAAAGAGAGTATTATTGTATACAGTGCTCAGCAAGCTAGTTCCATTACAATGTTATAGATACCATAGATGCCCTATCTGAATAGCCACATCTTAAATATTCTCAAGGTTCTACTGAATGTCTGAAATTTTCACTTACATGAGAAAATCCCACCATTCTCCTCCCTAGTCTGTTCCCCTGCCCCATTGTTTTACTGAATGGACACCTGCATTTGAGAATGAGATTTTGCAGAAGTGACTACAAGTGGTCTAAGCCTGGCCCAAACTTTGCTCGCACAGTTACTGAGGCAGATGAGCCAAAATAAAACAATTGGCCTCACAAAATATAAAGGCAGTTCACACAGCATCAGTGATTCAGCAATTCTGAATCAGCAGAGAGCAAATTCAGCTAGTCAGAGCTGATAGTTATGCTTATA